TTTATTTTATTTTTTGAGACAGAGTCTCGCTCTGTTGCCCAGGCTAGAGTGCCATGGCGTCAGCCTAGCTCACAGCAACCTCCAACTCGTGGGCTCAAGCGATCCTCCTGCCCCAGCCCCCAAGTAGCTGGGACTACAGGCATGCGCCAGCATGCCCAGCTAATTTTTTCTATATATATATTTTTAGTTGTCCATATATATTTGAAGACAGCATCTCACTCTCTTGCCCTGGGTAGAGTGCCATGGTGTCAGCCTAGCTCACAGCAACCTCAAACTCCTGTGCTCAAGCGATCCTCCTGCCTCAGCCTCCCAAGTAGCTGTACTAACAGGCTCATGCCAGTACGCCCAGCTAATTTTTTTCTATTTTTATCTGCCTGGCTAATTTTTTCTATTTTTAGTAGAGATGGGGTCTCACTCTTGCTCAGGCTGGTCTCAAACTCCTAAGCTCAAGCAATGCTCCCACCTCGGCCTCCCAGAGTGCATAAATACACTTTATTAAGGCATGACATAATCAGCAAAGCTACGACATGTCTGGCATAGCAACAGCTAGCTAGAGCCAGATAGGGGTTGCCCTCTATCTAAAAATTTTAAAATATAAGAAACTACTTACCTCTTCATCTGATTCCTCTTCAGCAGAATTTTCGAGTCCTAATTCAATCAGATATAAAACCATGCAGAGTACATGTTCTGATAGATTTTGATGATCCATCAAAATCTTTAAAAAGGGAAAAAAATGCGTCATAATTACTTTTTCCACAAAATGTATTTCATTTAAAGATCAAAAAGCATTTTAATGTTATAGATGAAAATAACATAATCAGGTACATAAAAATGAGATATGTAAGTAAAGCTATATCTTGGTGAAAAGACAAACAAAACCAAAACACCAGGTTTCCTCTCAAGATCACATAGTACTTTAAGCAATATCTAGAAATATTAGTTCACAGGTTAACATATCAAATAGCCCACTAAAACCATCAATATTAATATACCAGTATCTAATAAAATAATTAACAAGAACATTTTACATCATAATTTGCTAACTCTTCTTCTGAAAAGGATATCAGATAAATAACTTTATTAAATAGAATAATTCAGGCAAATGTGTCTGGGAGCACAATAAGTGTTTATGGTACATTAATTTTCTTAAAATCTGTCTTTAAAATTAAAGCTCTGAGCCTCTGAATATTTTAAGCAGCTGTATATGTATGTATGTCAGCGTGTGATTTATATGGATGAGAAAGGAAGAAGAAATGCAAGTGGTTAGTAGAGAGGCTTTTGAGGAAAATTCAATAAACCTGACCTTATATATGTATTACACAATGCAAGCCCTACACACCTTACACAGGATTTCAGGGCTACCTACACCAATCACTCATTCAATATGATGCAACAGACCACTAGCCAGAAGATACATAAAATACCATAAGAAAAAAATGGCCTGGCGGCTATCATCTTGTTATCATTACAAAAAGGTCATCTGGCCAAATGTTGAAAGGGATGAGAGGAAGAGGCTCTCCAGGGAGTGGCAATTTCAGTTGCTGGTGAGATAGCAGAGAACAAAAAAAGAGGACAAGCTAAGCCGAGCTTCACAGAAACTGCCCAAATGGCTGAGGAGACTGGGAAAGGAGGTTTCAGTCAGTTAAGACCTAATCCATTGTTACTAAAGAATCTTTCAATTCAACGACTTTCTAATTTTTTTTGACAACTGAGATGTTTTTCTATTCATCTGTCGTGTGGCAAAGAGGTGAAGAGCATAGGCTTTCAAAATCTTTTTAAAACCTGAAGTTTAACAAAAATTCTGTCTATACCTATTTGATCTTGATCAACAGACTCTGGCCTTAGTTTTCTCATCTCTGAAACTGGAATGATAGCCCAGAATTGTTGTGAGGATTACACGAGTTAACATCTGTCATTTGCTTAGTATATTATCCAGCAACTGGTATTCAACAAATAGTAAGTGGGTGTTGCCAATGGTGTGAAGAGCAGGAGGGGACTGAAGGCTGGAAGATGACAGAAGTCATTCTTGCTGATCCAGTATGTTACACTGACAGAAGCAAGGCTCAGCCACACATCAGCTAGTATAAGCAATACTAGAACACAAACCACAAACTTCCAGACCGTCGCCTATCATTACTACAACTACTAATAAATAAAATATTGCTGGCTAAATTAAGTTTGACTTGAAATCCTGTAGCATTACAGCTCTGACTAACTTAAAAACTAAGGAGAAAAAAATCCCTTTATAAAGCACTACAAGGAAAAAAAACTAAAAATGGTTTTTCCAGGGAGTTTTATTTTAACATGTTCTTTAACGTTAAACGTGGCAAGGGATATAGGTGATTTTCTGAGATTGATTTTTAGGAAGTTGACTTGCCAATGCAATGTCAATTAGAAAAGTGGTTTTTGTTTTAGTTTTTGTCTTCTTCTTGAGACAGTCTTGCTCCATTGCCCAGGCTGGAGGGCAGTGGCCTCATCACAGCTCACTGCAACCTCAAACTCCTGGGCTCAAGCAATTCTCCTGTCTCAGCCTCCAGAGTAGCTAAGAATACAGATGCGCACCACCACACCCAGCTAAATTTTCTCTCTTTTGTAGAGACCAGGTCTTGCTCTTGCTCAGGCTGGTCTGTGGTTCACACCTTTAGTTTCAGTGCTTGGGAGGCCAAGGCAGGAGGATTGCTTGAGCCCAGACATTAGGGACTAGTCTGGGCAATACAGCAAGACTCCATCTTCAGAAGAAATAAAAATAAAATTAGCTGGGCATGTTGGGACATGCCTGTAGTCCCAGCTATTTGGGAGGCTGAGACAGGAAGATTGCATGAGCCCAGGAGTTTGAGGCTACAGTGAGCTAAGATTGTGCCAGTGTACTCCAGCCTGGGCAACAGAATGAGACTATTTCTCAAAACAAAAACACTTTTCTGGCCAGGTGTGGTGGCTCACGCCTGCAATCCTAGCACTTTGGGAGGCCGAGGTGGGAGGATCTCTTGAGCTCAGGAGTTTGAGACCAGCCTGAGCAAGAGTGAAATCCTGTCTCTACTAAAAATAGAAAAAAATGAGCCGGGCATGGTGGCACACATCTGTAGTCCCAGCTACTTGGGAGGCTGAGGCAGGAGGATCCCTTGAGCCCAGGAGTTTGAGGTTGCTGTGAACTGGGCTGACACCACAGCACTCTAGCCCGGTCTCAAAAAAAAAAAAAAAAAAAAAAACATTCTTTGATGCTGTCACATAGGGACCGCACTCAAACCCCTACATGTCACATTCCTGATCAGAAGAAAAAAGCAAAGAGAACCACCCCAACCTAAGGGTCACTGGCCGGCATAGCTGTCATTTTAGTGGGTTCTAGGGTTGTTCAGTCCCTGTAGTTCATTCCATCCCTCCTGTAGTTCCACAGCATTTCACTTCTTGTTCTACAGAAGCTATAAATAAATATTCCCTTCAGTAGGTGGATAAGGTAAAAAGTTTCTCACAAAGAATGGTGTAGCTATTCCATTATTTTCAACTTGGATTTCAAATATATGCGATTATAACATATCCTCATACATTTTAAATGTATAAATACACTTTGCTTTATAAATGATACTTTTATGTAAATATCCTATGGCACTTTTATTCGAAAATTATGAAAATAAATTCTAATCTAAGTCTTTATATTCAAATTACTACTGTACCTTGTAAAGCAGAGTGAATACCACAATGTGTAAAGTTTTACAGTGCAAAAGTCTCATAAGACCTTTATAGCTAGGATGGAGTGACGTCCTTTTCTTATAGGGTGGCCAGGGATTTCCAGGGAATTTTCCACTCTGTTTTAAACTGTAAAATACAA